GTGGATGGCGTTCCTGCCATGGTAGGCTTTGTGTTTCCTTTGCATTTGTAAAAGCTAAATTGGTGCTAAGTGGATACTAATAATTTTTGTTGAAGACGACAGGTGGGCTGAGACGCTGTTTATTCTTCCGTTAACCACATGTTTCTGAAAACACAAATACCTTTGGGGGAATCTGAATTTTGCCAGACTAGTCCTTTGGTTTTCTGAGCTAAACTTGTCAACATGATGTACTGAGGTCAAAATCTCAGAAAACACATTAAAGAGGTGGGCAGCAGCACTCCACAGCAGTGGATCTGTCCCAGCTACCACTACTTAAATGCTCTTTGAGCACTACTTCAGTTTCTCTTAATATACCCATTTCTTGGGATGTGGAGTAAAGGCGAAGCTTTGTGCTTCAGGTACACAAAGGAGAAACAAGTGATCTGAATTCTGTTTCTAGATTTGGACAACTTTGCCCTGCTTTATCTCTTCGAGACGTGGCAAAGCAAGCAAAGCTCACCGCTTCAAAGGCTACACCTCCTCAGGCGTGAGCTACTTCGAGTGGTTTGTTTTTTCTTAAAATTGTGCTTTTCTGTCTCTTCACAGGAGCAGAAAGCTCTTTATTGTATACCATTTCTTGAGTTAAAATAGTATCGTAAGAACCATCAGGACTGGGAAGCCAGGCTCCTTGTGAGAGACTGCTGCAATGTTTACTGCTTATAAAAAAAGAGCTGGGTGTATATTCGTCAGGCCATGTGTGGACTGTGTGTGTGAGGGTGTGGATCTCTTAACAAAGTCTTTCTGTATTCAAACTGTTACCAAGTTATTGAAGTTAAACTGGTCTTGGCGGGAACAAACAAACAAACAAAGTTATACTTAAAGCAGAATGAGTTAAAAAAGAAAGAAAGAAAAAAATTCCCAACACAGCCATTGTGCCTGGAGTTAAAGCACTCTGCCAACCTGCTATCGAGCAGGTGTCAGGACAGTGTGGCAGTCCTCCCAGGCACCCACATTTCCTCTCCAAAACATTCATGGCTCTTCCACACTAACCCAGGCCAAAGAAGAAACTAAAATGCAAAATCCTGCGACCCCTGTCCACTCCTCAGAGGGATGGCTGGCCTGGTCAGGTGTATCTGCTCTGCTAGGCGAAAAACTTACATGGGTACATTGAAAACAGCATCAGGACTTTGTCTCTCTCCTACTTGTTTGGTATATCTAAATCAAAGTTTCATTATTAACAAAAGAAGTCGGTCATGTTTTTTCTTAAATATGGCATATATGAAAAGCCAGTTTTGCCAAATTTGGATCTTTAGTTTCAAATATCATCACTGTTGTCTCCATACTGCATTCTCCCCCTGAACAGGGATGGAGGGACAGGAGGTTCTTTCAAACACTTATTTGCATTCTCACCTAATTTAAAACTATTCCCCTAATATAGGTCAAATGGCAAACTGACCTAAAACCTCATATAAGGTCCTGTGCCTGCATGTTTCTGTTTTACAGGGACATAACTGGAAGCACAATACAACTCAGCTTCCTTTCAGTCAGGTACAGCCTGGATCCCACAAGTAGACTCATATTAGGACAAACCTAACTGGGACCAATACTGTCGGCATTGCACTTTCCTGCACCATCCTGTTCTGAATCACCATATATCCATCACTCCTTTCTTCTTCTTCAGCTGTTCCATCAAAACATTCCAATCAAGAAAAGGCAAAAAAGACTATAATGAACCGGGTTTCTTGTAAAAAGGAACACACAATTCCCCAAAGCAAGCCATGCCTTCATAGTAATGGAGAACATATGCTTTTCAGCATGCCGGTGCCAGGGAACCGGTTTGTGATGCAGCCTCCGGAGCCACCGACGGCACATCTCGCTCTGCGCAGAACAGATTTGTTTCCTTATGCCTCTCTCCTCTCATGCATGCTGCCCACAGCAAAGTGAAGAACGCTTCCCTCTCCTCTCCCCAGCAACTCAGAGAGGTCGCAGGGACGAAGGTGAAAAGCCAACACCACCCGCAATGCCATGTTACCCTCTCTGCTTTCAAAACCCTGGTCCTCTCCAAAACCCAGCCTATGGTGTTCCTTTGTTATGCATAAAACAAAAAGGCTGAGACCGCACGTGCAGGGGCACCTGAACTAGTTTCAGGGTTTTATATCAAATTCAGATACAGTTTGCACTTATGTTTTGTGGATTTTTTTGCAACAGAAACACATTGCTGCTATTTCGATCTACCCATTGACCCCCTGGCCCTGCACGGGAAGATACGCCAAGCATCACAGCTATGCCATCAAGGTAACAAAATTGCCTTTGTACAAAGACTTGCCTTTTTTTCTGACTAAAACACCCTCACTGGAGATCTTCCCTGACACAAAAGCATTGTGCAGCTGAACTAAATACTTACTTGGATTACTGAATTGTACCACTGATCAGCATTTCCGCATTACAGCTAAAATAATCCTCCCCGTAAACCACTTAGCCAAGATAAGTGGAGCAAGGGAACATTTTTAAAATCGCTCTTCAGTAATGGCTGAAGCAGGCGTTTAACAGAACAACAGTCTGAATTACCAACCTATTTTTAATACTTATATCTCGCAAACTTTTCTTTACAGGCTCATCACCTTGCAAAAGCTGCTTTAAGAATACAAATACAAATATACCCCACCTAACCACTGGCAAGTCATAGGCCCACATACGTAAATTCGTTTTGGAAGGCAAAATACATGGGCTAGTGCCTCATACATTTTAGATGATGGAAGGCCAGTCTTGCCTGCTTGGCATTGCATCTGTCCTGTAGCCTCCTGAGGAAAAGCCAAGAGAATCAAGGCACTTTACCTCATGGATTTTGTTACAAAGTGTTGAAAGGTAGCCAGCCTATATTTTATGTGTTGCTTTGTCACAGACAGAGAGCATGAGCTTTCGTAATGACATGACAGATGTGATCCTCATTTTCCACAAGGATAAATTTCAGCTTCATTTACAAGGGCAGCTTTCTTTTGTACTCCCTTAAGCTTCATGCTGAAAGTGGATGTTTCCATTAGTAAGGTCCAGCACGGCTGCCATTCATTAAGGTACCTCCTCAGAAATCCTAGTTTCTTTAACTGAATGCTTCTAAAACAAAATCTTAATGCTCCCTGGAAGCAGACCTGTCCACACCAGATCAGCTGCAAAGGGGATACTCAGATCACCGCAGCAGCCTGCTAGAGGAGGCACGCTGCCCTCAAGGACACCAACCCGGAATCGGAAAGTCAGAGTCTCTTACGCGGAATCGGTCTGTGTCAGGCCTGCTGCGCTGCTGCAGAAAGGCCAGAGCAGGCTGAAAAGGGTTTAGGCATCTGACTGGCACATGCTGCTTTTCCTCCCCCACCCCGCAGCCTGGATTTACATTCCTGGCATAAACTGCTCCTTCAATGCAATTTGTCTAGCAGCACCGAATCTGATAAGAACAGCTGAGTGGTTTGCATTTTTATGTGTCTACTGATGTGTCCCCTGTGGGGAGAACTCAACATCCCTCCGGGAGGGAAGCGGGAGCCAGGGGCATCTGCTGGGAAAGCCAGAGGATCTCTCTGAAAGAGACTTCACTGCTGCGTGAAGTCTCTTTCTCCTCTGGCCTGGCTGGCTTTTTACAGCTTTCACATAATCTCAGTAAAACATAAATGAAACATCAGACTGAAACTATCCAGTAAAAGACGTGCTGCTTTGTTGCCCGTTTTTAAAGGGAAATCTCTGAAATTCCCTACAAGTTAAATCCTCCAGAGGAAGCTGTTGTATTTCACTGCCACTCGAACAGTTTTCTGTGTAAATCAACTCCCACTATTCAATACAGGGCATAATACATCATTCTGTTTAAATCAAGCATATGTATTTTTAATGGGATATTATCAGTGCCTCTAATTCTCATTTATATTTGCGTATGCATCCAACTCTGGCAGTGACATTTGAATGCTGCAACACAGCAAACCTCTGTTCCTCTCCTCTAGCCTGCCACCGAACGGCCCCAGTAATTCAGAGGTACACTGTTTTTAATAATGAGTCACTACCATATTGTCACTTCCCCCTCCAGCAGCAAAATCCTATTGATATCTGAGTATTTTCATCCGGAAAGTATTAATAAGAAAAGTCTGTTTCATTGAGGTTACATTAGAGGACATTTCTAGTTACAGCATACTTGCTGCTAGATTCTGAGAAAGGTCAGAAGGTCAGTCACAAGTTTCACACTTGTAATCTTGCTTTCATCCACAGCTGCTAACACTGCTAGTTTATAAGGTTGATTCATCACATTTTTAAAATAGTAATCTTGCTTAGAACAAGTTTTAAAAAGACTTTGAAAGATGAAAATGAATAATCAAGATCTCAATCCTGTGAGTTTTTGCATAAGATGCGAGCTTACGTACAATCCTACTGATAACCCTACAGACCCCAGCAGCTGCTAGCATCTCTGAATTTCAGGAGACCAGTTTCATTACACAAAAAACTTCATATTAAATTCAGGGATGATCTCATAGACTTAAAAAAAACCCCAAACAAACACCGAACCCACAGCAGCACAGAAATGACTTTCTGGGGAACAGGAGGACAATTCATGGGAAGGGATCTCTGGCTCACTCACTCGCAGGGAAGATGGTTACCATATTATGTAGTCAGGGAGAAAAGGGAGATGATATGAAATGCCATGGAGATCCCCATTTTTTTCCATGCAAGAGAGAAGGGTGGGGAGTGGAAGACACAGCCCCTTTCTTAACCCAAGATCTTCCCCTCCCCTTCATTTTTCCACTAAAAGTAGCAGATAGATAACCAGCAAAGGTTGTTTGCTTTTCATTGAGCAAGAGGCTGCAACTCCATTTCAGAGTTGCAGATGCTCTGGATGCCTTAGCAATCCTTAGTTAATCTAGAGCACAAAGTACTTTCCAGCTAACTGATAACAGCATCCTGGGCCAAACCAACCACAAGACAGTCTTTGACTAAGGTCCGTAAGGCATGGCATGTGAGATGTTCTCTAAAAAACAAGAACAGAAATCCCATGTACTCCTCAGTTTCTTAAAACCTGAGAAGCTAATGGTTATGGCCCTAAGTTGCCTCATCTTCTGCCAGTGAACTTGAATTCCTCACTCAGCAGGAGGAGGAAATACAGCAGGAGTACCATTTTTTGTAAACTGAGATTTGAGATGTATTAAGTGAGCAACTAAATATCTGTCTTGGTAACAGATTGTACTTTTTTCTAGTCCTTGCTTACCAGGCCCACACAGGAGGACGTTTGGAAGTTGTGTTGTTCAAAAAGAGAGAGACACCTACGGAAAGGAAAAAATCAGTGGAGTTTACCTGTCATCACAGTAGGTAAATTTCATGTCCATGCTATGACGACTCAGGAAGGTCTTGCTGTCCAGGGGTATATCGATGTTTGAAGGATGCTGAATAGGCTCACACATTATTATAAGGCATGTGAGAAGAGGCTCTTTATACCCACACAGAGTGTGAGGAGGGCAGGTGTTATACACTTTAACTTGTCCAGTGCAGTGCAAAACCTGAAATAATGATTTTTGAATGAGAAACAAACTTAGAACGTACTTTCTCTACACGCCAAAATATCTTTCAAAATCAAACCCACTTATTCTGGCTCAAACACGGTACCTTCCACGTGGCAGACTTGAGGTTAACAGTTCTGCCTCTGTTGGTAACGGTGCATTTCATCCTCATGAAGAAGTCACGCTCAGTTGACATCTCTTTGCTTTTCTTTCCAAATCCTGGACCTGTATAAGGAAAAGGGCAAATGGGTTCTCTCAGTTTTGCTTCGCGATTTCTTCTACTTATGAGCATGAAGGATTCAATAGGAATAACAGACTAATTCTCAGATAATTTACCTGCAGAGACTATCAAAGACGCACAGACCATTGAAGACCAGTTTGTAGAGCTCAGACACAAAACTTTAAGTAGGCCTTTGCACATTTAAGCCTGTGCTTTAGCTTGCAGCACATAAATCTTCGCAAGGCATTACAAGTAAAAACATTATGCCTGTTTTAACTTGATGAAAGGAAAACACTAAACAAACAGTTCTCTTTGCTATCATATTTAGGCAATATTTGGCAAAACAAAACAAATCTGCAAAGCATTGAATAATAGTTAATGATTACTCTAGGAATGAAAATTCCCTTTACCATGACTAACAGATCTCTACTGCTAGCCAATTGCTTCACTTGGTTATTTAAAAAGCAGTGACTTTTGTATTTTCATTATTACCATTTTTCAGACTCAGATTCTCTCGAATTTCTTCGTGGTCACATGGATGAGTGAAGTCAAAAATGCTGTGTCCAGTTAATTCCACCTGTGCAGAAGAACTACACTTAGCCAAATAAAAGCAACTGATAGTATTCATCTGTTTTTAAATGCCACCTATTCAGATGAAACTGGTCACTAGAACTAAGTGCATCGACAGGATGCTCGCAGACACAAATCCTGTGACCCTCCCTTTGTTTACCCTATGCATAACTTCTCATTTTCTCCCCAGAACCATTTCCTGTCTTTGGATTTGCAGAGTGCAGTTAACAGCCAACATCACTTTCAGCACAGCAGAAAACCCCCACTCCCCAAACCCTGCAGAAAAGCGGGGAGGCAAAAGAGCAGCTCTGTCCCCTCTGTACCACAGTCTAAGGCACCAGCTGCATAAATGCCCATTCTCCTCTCCATGGTAATATCTAGGAAGGCATGTTTGCAGTCACCAAAGACACTACACCTTCGATAGAAAGGAAGAGGGAGAAACCCCCACTGTTGTCTGGTGTGCAGAGAACCTGCCTGAGAAATAAGACGTTTTATTTGCAGTCTTTTTTGCAGTGACACACATCTGTTTTCCTGCATTTAGGCATAGGACTCGTTTCTAGGAATTGTATTGCAAAGACAGGAAAGTGTTAGGGAACAAGTTACCTGGGTAAGACCCATGTATTTGTTGACATTCTCTGACAAAAAGATCATGTCTCCATCCTGTGTCACCACGGCAATAAATCCCTCCAAAGCTTTCAGGTACAAGTTGTCCATCTGCTGGTCTGCCTCTAGTTCATTCTCATTGTCAGCACATACTGAGAAAAAAAGAAAAAAAAAAGCATGTAAAGTCTTCAGTATCCTAGCCAGCTTTTTTCAGTACATGCACATCCAGTTACAAGAAAGCATAATATTTTTCTGCTGTTCGAATTTCCTTTCCAGAAACCCCTTCTGGTGGCGCTTTTTGAACAGTGTATCACTAGACAGGCAGGAGATATTTTTCTAAACTTTTTGGCAAATGCAATAGACCCTCTACTCACCTTTAGTGTACTTCTGCAAGATGCCTTTTCAGTACGCAACACCTATATACCTAGACGTTGAAGCGCATCTTCTTCACGCACATTCTTTTGGCCACATGCAGCCTTTGTATCTCCTAACAGGCACAAGGTATAGGGCAAATCTTACAGAAGGTAAGTAAATCTGTGCATTCCTAACAAACGTCTAACAAAAGGCTTTTCCATCAGGTCAGGTTTTCTGAGAAGTTCAAATACTGTTCCTACAACGCATGCCTAAACAGACCTCTGCATTCAGTATGGAGATCATAGAATCACAGAATGGTAAGGGTTGGAAGGGACCTTAAAGATCATCTGGTTCCAACTCCTCTGCCATAAGCAGGGACATCTTCCACTAGACCAGGTTGCTCAGAGCTGCATCCAACCTGGCCTTGAACACTGCCAGGGAGGGAGCATCCAGCTTCTCTGAGCAACCTGTGCCAGTGTTTCACCACTCTCATGGTGAAGAATTTCTTCCTAATATCTGATCTGCCCTCTTTTAGTTTAGAGCCGTTCCTCCTTGTCCTACCACTATACAACCTTGTGAAAAGTCCCTCTCCATCCTTCCTGTAGGCTCCCTTCGGGTACTGGTCTGTTAACACCACCTTTAGTAGGAAAAGTAGAAAACGACTTCCTTGAAGTCCCTTTTGGGGAAATCTTTCATCCCATAAACCTCAGTATTGCCAGGGAGAGCACCGATCCATCCCACTGATACCTGCTTTTTCATCTGCAGACATCAGAACTCCCTACGCGCCACTCCATCGAACTCTGACAGGCTTCATCACCCACCTACACTTCTCCTGCCCCGCGAGGAGGAGAGCCTCAGACCCCCCTTACACCCATGTTTGCTTGTGCAGACTCATGAACCCAGTGCGCCTTACCCATTTTTGGGAAAGACGTGCCACTGTTGTGCTGAAGTCTAAGGCCATGCGAGAATATTTATTAAAGCATTTTTTTTTTCGGTTACACATTTTCCTGTTGCTTTTTGGCTGTGCTGCAGAGACAATCAATGGCAGCGCGATGCCCTCGCTGCGTGTGCTCCATATGGCTATGTCCTGCGATGGGAGGCAGTAAGCAGGCAAAGTCATAGGCAGGGAGGGAAGAGACTGCTCCTCCTAACGCCAGTCACCCAAGCGTCCACTCAGCACTCCTGCCTTCCCTTCTACACTTTGAAGTATGTTTCAGCTCCATGAATAAGAAGCCCGCAGGAGATGATTTGTAGATGACTAGTATCGAAAAATGTCTACGTAGGAGCTGGCCCATTAATTTCTTGACATGTTTTACATGAAACTTCTGGGACTTTTCATTTTTTTACAAAACTGTTTACAGATATCGCTTCTGGTCTGTGTACCTCAGACATGCTGCAGTGAGCTTATCTTTACAGTTTTGTCAGTTAGCCTGCATGTTTGCCATCAGTCATTGCAAATACGCTTAGTGGTAAGGCTCTGAATTCGGAGGGAGAAAGCAAGCAAACAAACCCCATAATGTCTCAGAATAAATAATACCCAAATCCAGCCATACACTGCTGAAGATACAAGGCTGGGACAAATCCCATCCAGATCAAAGGTGCTCCACAGCCAGAGGCACCAAGGAGGACCTGAGAGGAGCCGCAGGGATGCTGCTGGCTGTGCCCCAGGCTGGGCCCACCACCGACTGCACTGGCCAGAGCCTCCAGCCATAATTGCATCAGCCTTACTCGCAAGAACAGCAGGACTTGTAATTAAACAAGCTTCTTGGAGAAGTTGCTCCTCTTTGTTGGTTTAATGTTGCTGCAATTTCAGCATACAGTTTTTGTTCTCTCGTACGCATACTGTTAGTGCTTGAGAAAAGTATTGCAATGTTGTTCTTTTCCTCCCTGAAACAGCACATTCATCATTTCCCTTCAGGTTTCTTGTCGAAATACTCATTTGGGAAGAAGTCTAGAAGCAGGAAATTTTTCTGGATAGGGAAGAAGCTGAAGCTAACTAATGCAGTTTTTACTTTGAAGTATTAATGAGTTATGATTAAAGGATGAGTTTGATCTGTATTACCTCCTGCAACTGCATCTACTATTCCCTGAGGATGGACAGCAAGCAAATGCAGACGGATGAGCCTTTGCAACACGCAGCCCACCAAGCCACTGTTTGGAACAGATGAGCGGTGACAAAAATGATGATGTTGCTTCTGCACCCTCCTCCTGCTCCTCAACATCCCTCCCTTGCAGCAGCCCATTACCCATCACACAAAGAAGGGAAACAAATGGACTCAAGCCCAGAGCCATTGGGAGCACTTGGTTCATCACCCTTTGCTTCACAACGCAATCGTTTGGTAGCAGGGAAGAGCAGATGTGGTCTGGGGATGGCCAGCCAGCACAGGCTGCGGATTTGTCATTTTGTGTCCCTGCACTGCAATTCCAACTACACATGCAGGCGCTAGTTCCTCCTCAGTACAAAGCAACTGACTTCAGGAAATTACATCAGGGCTAGCATTTAAAATACAGAAAACACACAATAATATATCTGAATAGTATGCACTTTGACCATAATAACACTTAGGGAAGGGGGAGGAAGGTAAGTGACCATCTGCTCCCAAGCTTGTTTCTGCTGCGTAAAGAATGTCAAGGGTCTTTTTTTACTTTTCCGGAAGCAAACAAATGGTTTATTCAGGAGGGATCATGGCTATATCCCAAGACAATCAGCTAAGTGTGGGTTCAGACAAAAAAAAGACTTTTCAGCTCTAACCCCAGACCCTCCTTTCCATTTTTTTTCCCAGCTCATTAAGTTTGCATTAACAAAACATGACCATTCAAAGGCAGGAAGGCTATTCAAAGTGCCTGTATTCTTAAATGCCTCCAACGGTGAAAGACAAACACTTTACTTGTATTATCAGATGATTAAGTTTGTTTTTCCATGTATATAAATTATATTACTTCTACAAACACACATAGAGGACATAGGATCACTCACATCAGCGCTGCAGGTTCAAACCCTTAACGTCCTAGCTGAGCACAGCACTTAAAGATGCAGTCAGCATTAAAGCACATGGTTACAGGGTTTTGTTGGATTAGAGTTCAACTACTTCATTAAAATTACCTTCATCCAGCCGGAGGCATCTGCGATGTGGACTGGAATGAGGGAGAGAAGAGGGTTTGCGCTGCTGTGCACCCCCTCTCACATAATCCAAAAACACAAGCAAGGTGTTTTGAAGACACCCTCCAGCTTCCCTGATAACTCAAACAAACTCCGCTGCACACCCTCCTTCCCCCTTCACAGCAGGCAAGCGGAGCTGGCAGATACGGGTTTCTTGTAGCCCTTAACAGGGCATGCTCATGTTTCAGAGATGGAGTGAGGAAACCCTTGGCACCGTCAGGCAAGTGACAAGTTCCTCCAGGGGCCACTGTGCTGCTGCCACCATCTCTTCCTTACCTGTCCCCCATCAGCATCCCCAGCAGCCTGCCCAGGGAAGACCAGGCACCGGGGACTGCACCAAAGATACTCCCATCTTCTGCTGTGTCCAGGGTCTGCACGGTGGTTGCAGACACACAGTCCCAGGAGGTGTCATCTGTGCTAAGCCCCTGAAGCATATTAACTACCTGAAGATCCTCAGTCCGCAGCAAAGAAATGTGCCGAGCATCACTGCGGCAGCCCTGGCATGCCCTCTATCAGGTAACTTCGTATAATTATAGTAACATAAATAATAAATAACAGTCCCTCATATGGCTGCAGTTACAGCATTATAGCTTGGTCCCTTTCTCCTGTGAAAATCACTGGCTACTAATTCACATAGGATATACACGTTAGGAGACTGATACATCAGAAGCCATTCAGTTATTGCCACTCGCAAAAATCTGGTTTGCTTCAGAAAGAATCTATTTTGCAGAAGAAAAACAAATAAAGCCATCACTACTACAAGCTGCTCCTAGAAATCCCTACTGTCTTTCATTTCAGGATAAGAAATTTCGTCTTCAGATGGAAAACGCTTGAGAAGGCTGGGACCAAATGAGAGGAGGAGGTCAGCAGGAGGAGGTGAGGGCAGAACTTGGTTTCCAGTAGGTCTGAGGCCACTTTATCCAGGTAGCAGCACCCCATGTAGACTTGCCAGAATTTTCCAGGTCTTAAAGAAAAGTAACCATGGACTCAATTTACCCTTATTTTCAGTTAGAGGTTTTGTGATCAGCATTGCTTTTCAAAATAGCTGCTAACTAAATTTTGAAATAAGGATGCATTTCTTCTCTTTTCCTGCAACTTTTTCCACCTCTACTAATGAGAGTATCTCAGTTCAGGCACCATGACAGTATAGCAGGGAGACTGGACTGCAAATATGCCAGTTTCACTATAAATTAATAGCGCCTTCAGCAGAACGAAGCACTGTAATATTACTGTTCATATTATAGTTACATTTATGGATCCCAGCCAAGATTCTGATATGGAGCACTGGGAAGCCTATAAATGATGGAGAATCCCTGCCTAGCATAGATCAAGAGATCTTGAAACACACCAGAGTGTCACAGAAAAGCACAGTGGTCTCCCTGGGGTGAGTGTCCGAGCTACGGCAGAACCAGGAACAGAGCAACCGTGTCCCTTGTCGCAATGTGATGGGTCATCTACTGTTCATATTGCCCCAAGGCAGTATTTCTTGGTCTGCATCAACTTTTCATACAGTGTTTTTAAGTCCATGTCTCACTCTTCATCAAATTTTGATAAATATTTTTTAATCAGCTCCATTTTGAAAAAAAAAAAAATCTAACTACCAAAGTAGAATTGACTCCTCAACAAGAAACTTTGAAC